TGTGGCGCCGTCTTCGCCTTTTTGTCCGCCTTGGGTGTGGCCCTTCGCCCTCCCCTGTCCCGGCTTTCTCCCCTTGTCCCCCCCGTTTGTGTTCTCTTCGCCCGGTTCCCTTCTTGCTCTTCTCTTTTCTCGCCCGCCCTTTCCTTGTGGTGCTCCTTTGTTCTTTCGCCTGCCCTTCTTGCCTTTCCTCCCCCCTCGCGCCCCTTGTTCGTCCGCTCCCCCTCCTTCTTCCTCCTGCCCTTGCTGTTGCGGGTTGTTCGGCCCTCCCTGCGGCTGTTCGTTCCTCCCGTTCTTCCTCGCCTCGTGTCTTCCTTTCGCCCTCCTCCGCCTTCCGCTCCCTCCCGCGTTTCTCCGTCGCTCCTGTCCTTCGCTCTCTCTGCTCGCGCCTTGCGGTCCCCTTCCTCTCCCCCTTTGTCGGTCGTCCGCGTCCCCCTTTGCGCGCTCTTTCTTTCTGGGTCCTGGTCTTTCCCCGCTCCGTGCTTCTCCCCGCCTTTTGCTCCCTCGCGCTTCCCTGTCGGTGCTGCTTTCGTTCGGTCGCCTTTTGCCCTCTTCGCCCCTCTTCCTGGCCCTGTTCGTTTGTTGTCTTTTTCTTGTTCCTCGCCTTCCCCGCTCCTCCTGCGCGTCTCCCCTCTTTCTTTTGCTGTGGTGCCCTTTCGCCTCTTTGGGCCTCTGGTGTCCTCGCCCGTTTGCCCCCCCTCTCTTTGGCCCTGTTGTCCCCGTTCTTTCGCCTCTCTCTTCCTTTGTCCCCTCCCTTTTTGGCTTTGGCCTCTCTCGTGGCGCCTTTGGCTTCGTGCGGCGGCCGTGTTCCCTTCCCTCCTTTGGCTCGGCCCTTTGTGCTGCCTTCCCCCTTTCGTCCTTTCCCGCCGCTCCGTGCCCCTGCCTTCCGTCTTTCCCCTCCTCCCCTTTCTCCCGTGCGCCCGCCCCTTTGCGGCGCGCCCCTCTCTCTCTTCCTCTTGCCGCTTTTGCGCTCTCTCTCGCCGTCCCCCTTGCCTCCCTCGCCCCCTGCTCTGCTCCCCCTTGTTGGTCCCGCCGGGTGGCGCGCCGTCTCGCGGGGGGGGGGGGGGTGCCTCGCCTTCTCTCCCTTTTTCCCTTCTTTCGCCCCCCCCCCCGGCCCTCCCCCTTTGGTCCTTCCTCCTCTCCGTCCCCGCCTCCCCCGCTCCCCCCCTTCGCGTGTGCCGCCGGCCTCTCGTCCGGTCCCGTGTTCTGCTTCCCTGTGCGTGGCTCCCGCGCGCTTTCTCCCCTGCCCCCCGTTCGCCCCCTTGCTCTGGTTCCGGCTGCTGTCCGTCCCGTTTGGCTTGCCTGCCCCCGTGGGCCCTCTCCCCCCCCGCCCGCTCCCGCTCTGCGCTCCCTCGTCCTCGGGTTCGTTCGCCGTTCGCCTCCGCCTGCCCGCCCTCTCTGCGCCGTCCGTCCCTCGCGCGCGCGCTTTCTCGTGGTTCCGCGGTGGTGTCCTCCTCCTCGTCCCCTCTTCTCCTTTCCCTTCCCGGCGGCCCTTCCCTCTTCTTCGCTCCCCCCGCTCCCCTCGTGCCTCCGTGTCCCCCCGCCCTTCTCCGCGTGCTTCGCCCCCCGCTCCCCTCCTCCCGGTTTTTCGCCCGCTCCTCTTGTTCCTCCGCCTTCCCGCGTCCTTCGCCCCCCGCTGTCCTCCTCCCCCCGCGCCCTCCGCCCCCCGCTCGCTCTCCCCGGGTTTTCCCCCGCTCCTCTTGTTCCTCTGCCCTTCCCCCCGCGTGCTCCGCCCCCGCTCCCCTCCCCCTGGGTTTTTCCCCTCTCGTTCTCTTCTCCCCCTTTTCTCCCCTCCGTCGCCGCTTTCCCCGCCTCCCCTTTTCTCTCCCTCCGCCTTGCCTTCTCTCGTGTCTCGCTCCCTCTCTTGCTTCTTGGCTGCTTTGCCTCTTGCTTGCTTTTCTCTTGCTTGTCCTTTTTCCGCCGTGTTCCCGCTCGTTGTTTGTCTTCCCGTCTGCTTGGCCCTTTCGACTCTGGCCCCTTCTGCTCCGCCTTATCCTCATTTTTCTTGCTGCCTTCTTGTCCCTGTGTCCCTCGCCCCCTCCTCCCACCCCCCCCGTCTCTTCTTCCCCTTCTCCTTCCTGGGTCCTCCTGGCCCCCCTCCCTCCCTGTGCGTCGCCTTCCGGGTCTTGCTGTTGCCTCTTGCGCTTTGCCTTTGCCTGCTGCTTGTTCTGTTTTCCTTTCTGGCCTGCCTCCCCCTTTGCTTTTTCTTGCCCCCCCGTTGGGTCGTCCTTCGCCTCGCTCTTCCTTGCCCGGCTTGTTGCTGGTTTTGCCCTTCCCTGCTTTCGCCTTCTGTGCCCTTCCCCCCCCCCTTCCTTCGCCTCTTTGCCCGCCCGCCTCCGGCTCCTCGTTGTCCTCCCCTCCCCCCCCTCCGTTTTTTCTTTCTTGCTCCGGCCGTCCGCCTTCCTTCGTCGCTTCGTCTTGCCTTGCCCTTTGCCTTTGTCCCCTTCTCCGCGCTCTCCTTTGTCGCCCCTTGCCTTGTCCTCCCCCGTTGCCTTTTCCTCCTTCGCCCTCCGCTCCGTCCTCCCTTCGTCCCCTTTTTTCCCCCTTGCGCCGGTTCCTTTTGTCCTTCCCTCTCGCTCGTTTCCCCGCCCCCCTTTTGGTCCTTCGCTCCTTTTGCCCTCCCCTCGCCTCCTTTCTTGCGGTCCTCTGTCGCGCGCCCCCGCTCTCGCCCTCCCCCCTTCCTGCCCGCCCGCTTCCTTCTTTTCGGTCCCCCTCTTGCTTGGGTCCTTTGTGTTCGTCCTTTTTGGCCTCCCCCTCCCCCGCTCGCCCCTGCTCCCCGCGTCGGTGCTTTGTCCCCCTTCCCCCCTTCTCCTCCCCCCCCTTCGCCTCCTGCTTTGGTGCGGGTTGGGCCCCGCTCGTTGCTTGCTTCTCTGCCCCCGCGCCCCTCTGGCCTTGGTCCCTGGTTTGCTCCGCGCCCCCTCTTGTTCTGCGGGCTCTCCTCTCCCCGCCCCCCTTCTCGGCCTTCTTCCCCTCTTCCTCTGCGGTTTTGTGCCCCTCGCCTCGTTGGTCTCTCTTGCGCTCCCCCTTTTTGCCTTTCCCTTGTTGCCTCTCCCGCCCTTCCTTTTGCTTTCGGCTTGCCCCCTTTTTCTTCGGGCCATTTCTTTGCTTCCCCCTCCTTGTCTCCTTGTGCTCTCCGCCTTTCCCGCCTTTCCCCCTGCCCTTTTCCTTCCGTCGTCGCGCCTTCGTCCGTTTCCCGGGGTTTGCGCCCCCTGCGGCCGTCGCCTCGTCCGGCTTTCTCTCCCGGGTTTTTGCCTGTTTCCCCTTTTCTCCCTTCTTTTGGCTGCCTTTGTCCCTGCTGCGCTTCCTTCCGCCGGTTCTGTTCTCCGCCCCTCTCTCGCTTTGCCCTCTTCTTGCCGTCGCCCCTTTTCGGCTTTCCCTTCCTACCTTTCCTTTCGCGCCTTTTCCCTTTTTGTGCCCTTCTTCCTTTTTCCCGCCTCCCGTCTTCTTGGCGCTCTTTGCTTTGCGTCTGCGTGCCCTGCCTTTTTGCCCCTCTTCCCTCCGCCTTTGCCCTGCTTCTTGCGTCTGGCCCGCCGTTGTCCCCTGCCTCCCGCCCCTCCCCGCGCTCGCCGCTCCCTCTTCGTCGCTTTCCCGGCGCCCTCTCCGCCTTCTCCTGTTCGGCTGTCTTGCCCCCTCGGCCTCGTCGGCCGTCTCTTCTTGTGCTGCCTCCCTCTCGTCCTCGATGCTTCTTCGCTTCCCTTGCTTCTCCCGGCTCGCTTCTTCGTGCCTTCCGTTTGCCCTTTTTGCCTTTCTATCCTTTTGGCTTTGTCTCCCCCTGTGGCGCCGTCTTCGCCTTTTTGTCCGCCTGGGGTGTGGCCCTTCGGCCCTCCCCTGTCCCGGCTTTCTCCCCTTGTCCCCCCCGTTTGTTGTCTCTTCAGCCCGGTTCCACTTCTTGCTCTTCTCTTTTCTCGCCCCCCTTTCCTTGAGTGGTGCTCCTTTGTTCTTTCGCCTGCCCTTCTTGCCTTTCCTCTCCCCCCTTGTCTCGCCGCGATCCCCCTTCCGCTCTTTCTTTTCTGGTCATGGTCTTTCCCCGCTCCGATGCTCTAATCCCCGCCTTTTGCTCACTCGCGCTTTTCCCTTGTCGTGCTAGCTTTCAGTTCGGTCGCCCCTTTTGCCACTCTTCGCCCCCTTCTGCCCGGTTCGTTTGGTATGTACCTTTTCTGTTCCTGCCTTCCCGCTACTTCCTGCGCGTCCACCTCTTTCTTTATGCTGTGGTGCCCTTTCGCCTCTTTGGCCCTCTGGGTCCTCGCTCCGCTTTGCCCACACCTCTCATTTGGCCCTGTTGTTCACCCCTTCCTTTCAGCCACCTCTCTCTTCCCTTTGTCCCCCATCCACTTTTGGCTTGTGCCTCTCTGCGTGGCGCCTTTTGCTTCGTAGGCGGACGAGCCGTGTTCCCTTCCACTCCATTATGAGCCATCGGCCCCTTTGCAGCTGCCTTACCCCCCACCCCAACTTCGTACCTTTCCCGGCCGCTCCAGTGGCCCACTGCCATCCGCACTTTCCTCCTGCCCCCATTCTCCACCTTCCCCCCTTCCGCGTTTCGCCCTGCTTCGCTCCTTTCGCTCCTTCCCCTTTCCTGCCTTCGCGTTGCCCCCCGCGCTTCCCCCCCGGCTTTGTGCGCCTGTCGGCCCTTTGCTTCTCCGTGGGCCCCTGCTCGCTTTTCCCCTCTTTCTTTTCGCCGTGGTCTCGGCTCCCCTGGTGTCGCCCGTCCCTCTGCTTGGTTCGCGCCTGCCGCCCCGGCTTTTGGGTTCTGGCGCTTGCCCTTGTCTTCTCGCCTCCCCTGCTCCCCTTTTCGCCCTTCCTCCCCTCGTCCCCTCCTTGTTGCTTCCTCCCCCCGCTTTGTGCCCCCCCCTCCCCGCTGCCCTCTCTTCGGCTTCGGCCGTGCTCGTCGCTCTGGCGTTTTGCTTTTTGCTGCCCCCCGCGCCCCCTCTTCCCCCTCCGCCCTGGCCTGTCCCTGCGGTCCTTTTTCGGTCTCTTTTCCCCCCTGCCCCCTCTGCCTCTGCCTCCCCCGTTCGTGTCCCCTCTCCTTCTTTGGGCTCCCCTCCTCCCCCCTTGCTTGTTCCTTTGCGCTCTCGCCTTCTCTTCTTGGTTGCCCTCCGCTGCCTTTCTTTGGGCTTTGCTTGGCCTCTTGCCCCTCCGCCCCCCGCGTCGGCTCTGTCCTGGTCTGCTTGCGGTTCCGTCTCGTCCCGCTCCCCTCCTCCCTCGCTCCTCGTTTGCTCGCCGTCTTTTCCTTCCTCCTCTTTCTCCCCTTTTTGCGCTGTCCTCCTGGGCCTTTTGCCTGCGGCTTTTCCCTCTCTGCCCCCTTTCTTGCTCCGCTCTCTTGTGTCCTTGGCTTGCTTTCTGCCCCTTCCTTCTTCCCGTTGCTTGCCTTGCCGTCCCCCCCGTCCTTTCCTTCTCCCCTCCTCCTCCTCTCGCCCCTGTTCTGCCTGCGCTTCGCCCTTTCTCCCCTCCCGCTTTCTCCGTCCTTCCCCCGCTCCTCTCCTCCCCCTCCCTTTGTCCTCCTCCCCTGTGCTTCTTTTCTTGCCTTCTCCCGCGGGTTTTCTCGCCTCGCCCTTTGGTGCCTCCCCCCTCCTTCCGCCCCTTGCCCCGGTGTCGTCCCCCGCTCGCGGCGCTTGTTTTCCCCCCTCCCCTGCCTTCTTTCCTTTGTCGCCTTGCTCCCCCCCGTCTTTTCCCTCCCCCCGGGTGGTTGTTCGCCGTCCCCTTCTTCTTCCCGTCCGCCCTTCCGCCCTGCGCTCTTTCCGTCCCTTTGCTCTCCCCTGCCCTTCTTGTGCGCTGCCTCTGCTCGGCCTCTCCGGCTTGCTTCGCGTCGTGCGCCGGGGGCGCCTGTCTCCTCCCCCTCCCTGCCTTCTTCTTGTGCCTCCCCCTTCGCCCCTCCTCTTGCTTTCTTCCTCCCCCTGCCGCCGTCTTCGTTTGCTTTGTTCCTCCCGCCCCCTTTCGTGCCCCTTCCCTTTTGGTGCGTTGGTCTTGGCCCCCGTTTCCCTCCGTCGTTGCGCTTGCCTTGCTCTCCTTCCTCTTGCCTGGCCTCTCTCCCCCTTGGCTCGGCTCCCGCTTCCTCCCTTTCTTTTGGCTCCCGTTGTGCTCGCCCGCCTGCGCCCCTTGCCTCTTGTTGTTGGTTCCTCGTCGCTGCTCGCGTCTTTCCCTCCGTCCCTTGGCTTTCCCCTGCCTCCGTCCTGTGTGTGCCTTCTTCGCCCTTTTCGCTTTGGTTGGCCCTTGTTGGCTTCTCCGCGTTTCCTTCTTGCTGTGCCTCCCCTTGTTGTGCTCCCTTGTTGCCTTGTTGCCGGGTGCTTCTTCGGGTTCCCCTCCTGGCCTTTCTTCTTGGCCTTCGGGTGCCCTTTCCGGTTGTGCGTGCTCTTTCGGGTCTCCCCTTGCTCTTGCCTCCCTTTGGTGCTCCCCCTCTCCCTTGCTTCTTCTCCTTCCTGCCCCCCCTTCTCTTCGCCCCCTCCTTCGCCTTCTTCCCTCCCGCTTCCCTTCCCCTTTTTGCCCTTCTTGTCGTGCTTTTCCGTCGCCCCCCCGTGCCTCGCTTCTTCTCCCCCCCTTGGTTGCTTTGTTGCCTCTTCTCTCTGCCTTGCTGGTCGCTGCCTCTCCCCGCCTCTTCCTTCGTCCGCTCGCTCGTCCCCCGTCTTTCCTTGCGCCTTTCCCTTCCCCGTCCCCCCCTTTCCCCCCCCTGTCTGCCCCTCGGTGCGCTTGGGTTTTCTCCCTTTCCCTCCTTCCTCTGGTGTTTTGTTCTCGCCTTGTGGCTTCGCCTGCGCTTTTGCGTCTCGCCCGCCGTGTTGCTTGCTTCTGCCCCCCTCTCTTTGGTCGTCCGGCGGCCGTTCTCCTGCCTCGTGCGGCTTCCTTGCGTGTTCGCTTTCTTCTTTCCGCTCCCCCCTTTTGTTGCGGCGTTCGTGCGGCCGCTCCTTGCTGTCCCTTCCTTGTGCCTTGCCCTCCGCTTGCCTCCCTCTGTTCCCGCCCTCTGTTCCTCGCTCGGTTCGTCTTGTTGCCCTCTTCCTGTCCTTTTTCGCCTTGCCGTCGCTTCCCTCGCTCTGGCCCCTTTGCTCCGCCTTCCTCCTTTTTCTTGCTGCCTCTTGTCCCTGTGTCCCTCGCCCCCTCCTCCCCCCCCCCCCGTCTCTTTCTTCCCCCTTCTCCTTCCTGGGTCTCCTGGCCCCCCTCCCTCCCTGTGCCGTCGCCTTCCGGGTCTTGCTGTTGCCTCTTGCGCTTTGCCTTTGCCTGCTGCTTTGCTTTGTTTTCCTTTCTGGCCTGCCTCCCCCTTTGCTTTTTCTTGCCCCCCCTGTTGGGTCGTCCTTCGCCTCGCTTCTTTCTTGCCCGCTTGTTGCTGGTTTTGCCCTTCCCCTGCTTTCGCCTTCTGTGCCCTTCCCCCCCGCTTCCTTCGCCTTCTTTGCCCTCCCGCCTCCGGCTTCCTTTCGTTGTCCTCCCCTCTCCCCCCTCCCTGTTTTTCTTTCTTGCTCCGGCGCGTCCGCCTTCCTTCGTCGCTTCGTCCTTGCCTTGCCCTTTGCCTTTGTCCCCTTCTCCGCGCTCTCCTTTGTCGCCCCCTTGCCTTGTCCTCCCCCGTTGCCTTTTCCTCCTTCGCCCTCCGCTCCGTCCTCCCTTCGTCGCCCCTTTTTCCCCCTTGCGCCGGTTCCTTTTGTCCTTCCCTCTCGCTCGTTTCCCCCGCCCCCTCCTTTTGGTCCTTCGCTCCTTTTGCCCTCCCCTCGCCTCGCTTTCTTGCCGGTCCTCTGTCGCGCGCCCCCGCTCTCGCCCTCCCCCCTTCCTGCCCGCCCGCTTCCTTCTTTTTCGGTCCCCCTGCTTGCTTGGGTCCTTTTGTGTTCGTCCTTTTTGGCCTCCCCCTCCCCCTCGCTCCCCCTGCTCCCCGCGTCGGTGCTTTGTCCCCCTTCCCGCCTCTCTCCTCCTCCCGCCCTTGCGCCTCCTGCTTTGGTGCGGGTTGGGCCGCCGCTCGTTGCTTGCTTCTCTGCCCCCGCGCCCCTCTGGCCTTGGTCCCTGGTTTGTCTTCCCGCGCCCCCTCTTGTTCTGCGGGCTCTCCTCTCCCCGCCCCCCTTCTCGGCCTTCTTCCCCTCTTCCTCTGCGGTTTTGTTGCCCTCGCCTCGTTGGTTCTCTTTGGCGCTCCCCCTTTTTGCCTTTTCCCCTTTTGTTGCCTCTCCGCGCTCTTCCTTTTTGCTTCGGCCTTGCCCCCTTTTTCTGGGCCTTTCTTTGCTTCCCCCCTCCTTGTCTCCTTGTGCTCTCCTGCCTTTTCCCCCCTTTTCCCCCTGGCCCTTTCTTCCTTCCCGTCGTCGTCGCCTTCGTCCGTTTCCCCGGGGTTTGCGCCCCTGCTGGCTCGTCGCCTCGTCCGGCTTTCTCTCCCGCGGGTTTTTGCCTGTTTCCCCTTTTCTCCCTTCTTTTGGCTGCCTTTGTCCCTGCTGCGCTTCCTTCCCGCCGGTTCTGTTCTCGCCCCTCTCTCGCTTTGCCCTCTTCTTGCCGTCGCCCCTTTTCGGCTTTCCCTTCCTCCTTTCCTTTCGCGCCTTTTGCCCTTTTTGTGCCCTTTCTTCCTTTTCCCGCCTTCCCGTCTTCTTGCGCTCTTTGCTTTGCGTCTGCGTGGCCCTGCCTTTTTGCCCCTCTTCCCTCCGCCTTTGCCCTGCTTCTTGCGTCTGGCCCGCCGTGTCCCCTGCCCTCCCCGCCCTCCCGCGCTCGCCGCTCCCTCTTCGTCGCTTTCCCGCGCCCTCTCGCCTTCCTCCTGTTCGGCTGTCTTGCCCCCTCGGCCTCGTCGCGCCGTCTCTTCTTGTGCTGCCTCCCTCTCGTCCTCGCTGCTTCTTCGGCTTCCCTTGCTTCTCCGGCTCGCTTCTTCGTGCCTTCCGTTTGCCCTTTTTGCCTTTCTTCTCTTTGGCTTTGTCTTCCCCTGTGGCGCCGTCTTCGCCTTTTTGTCCGCCTTGGGGTGTGGCCCTTCGGCCCTCCCCTGTCCCGGCTTTCTCCCCTTGTCCCCCCCGTTTGTGTTCTCTTCGCCCGGTTCCCTTCTTGCTCTTCTCTTTTCTCGCCCGCCCTTTCCTTGTGGTGCTCCTTTGTTCTTTCGCCTGCCCTTCTTGCCTTTCCTCCCCCTCCGCCCCTTGTTCGTCCGCTCCCCCTCCTTCTTTCCTCCTGCCCTTGCTGTTGCGGTTGTTCGGCCCTCCTGCGGCTGTTCGTTCCTCCCGTTCTTCTTCGCCTCGTGTCTTCCTTTCGCCCTCCTCCGCCTTCCGCTCCCTCCCGCGTTTCTCCGTCGCTCCTGTCCTTCGCTCTCTCTGCTCGCGCCTTGCGGTCCCCTTCCTCTCCCCCTTTGTCGGTCGTCCGCGTCCCCCTTTGCGCGCTCTTTCCTTCTGGGTCCTGGTCTTTCCCCGCTCCGTGCTTTCTCCCCGCCTTTTGCTCCTCGCGCTTCCCTGTCGGTGCTGCTTTCGTTCGGTCGCCTTTTGCCCTCTTCGCCCCTCTTCCTGGCCCTGGTTCGTTTGTTGTCTTTTTCTTGTTCCTCGCCTTCCCCGCTCCGCTCCGTGTCTCCCCTCTTTCTTTTGCTGTGGTGCCCTTTCGCCTCTTTGGGCCTCTGGTGTCCTCGCCCGCTTTGCCCCCCTCTCTTTGGCCCTGTTGTCCCCCTTCTTTCGCCCTCTCTCTTCCTTTGTCCCCTCCCTTTTTGGCTTTGGCCTCTCTCGTGGCGCCTTTGGCTCTCGTGGCGGTCGGCCGTCGTTCCCTTCCCTCTTTGGCTCGGCCCCTTTGTGCTGCCTTCCCCCCTTTCCTCCTTTCCCGCCGCTCCGTGCCCCTGCCTCCGTCTTTTCCCCTCCTCCCCTTTCTCCCGTGCGCCCCGCCCTTTTGCGCCCGCGCCCTCTCTCTCTTCCTCTTGCCGCTTTTGCGCTCTCTCTCGCCGTCCCCCTTGCCTCCCCTCGCCCCCGCTCTGCTCCCCCTTGTTGGTCCCGCCGGGTGGCGCGCCGTCTCGCGGGGGGGGGTGCCTCGCCTTCTCTCCCTTTTTCCCCTTTCTTCGCCCCCCCCCCGGCCCCTCCCCCTTTGGTCCTTTCCCCTCTCCGTCCCCCGCCTCCCCCGCTCCCCCCTTCGCGTGTGCCGCGGCCTCCGTCGCGGTCCCGTGTTCTGCTTCTTCGTGCGGTGCTCCCCGCGCGCTTCTCCCCTGCCCCCCGTTCGCCCCCTTGCTCTGGTTCCCGCTGCTGTCCGTCCCGTTTGGCTTGCCTGCCCCCGTGGGCCCTCTCCCCCCCGCCCGCTCCCGCTCTGCGCTCCCTCGTCCTCGGGTTCGTTCGCCGTTCGCCTCCGCCTGCCCCCCTCTCTGCGCCGTCCGTCCCTCGCGCGCGCGCTTTCTCGTGGTTCCGCGGTGGTGTCCTCCTCCTCGTCCCCTCTTCTCCTTTCCCTTCCCGGCGGCCCTTCCCTCTTCTTCGCTCCCCCCGCTCCCCTCGTGCCTCCGTGTCCCCCGCCCCTTCTCCGCGTGCTTCGCCCCCCGCTCCCCTCCTCCCCGGTTTTTCGCCCGCTCCTCTTGTTCCTCCGCCTTCCCGCGTCCTTCGCCCCCCGCTGTCCTCCTCCCCCCCGCGCCCTCCGCCCCCCGCTCCGTCCTCCCCGGGTTTTCCCCCGCTCCTCTTGTTCCTCTGCCCTTCCCCCCGCGTGCTCCGCCCCCCGCTCCCCTCCCCCCGGGTTTTTCCCTCTCTCTCGTTCCTCCGCCCTCTTTCTCCCCTCCGTCGCGCCTCTTCCCCCGCGCTCCCCTTTTCTCTCCCTCCGCCTTGCCTTCTCTC